TTTAAAAATAAATATTAGATAAACCTTAAAAAAATAGTTAATTTTCTTCTTAAAAAAAGTACTAGTTACCGCAATATTTTATATATTTTTTCTATCATTAAATCACAGGTGCAGTTATCGCCAAACAAAATTTTGTTAAGCTCCAAAACACTACATTAAACACTCCCAGCTTTTCCCAATTTAGTCGATAAACTCTCAAACAAAAAAGAAAAAAAGAAAAAAGAGCATATAAACCCTTATATTGCTCAATGAATGTGAATTATAAAATCTCCATTATTCTCCGTTAGTTTCATTGATGTGGCTTGCATTTTCGGTTAGTCTTTGTTAATTTAATTTAGGCAGAAAGGAAAAAAATTGGTAAATTTTACCATAGTTCATAAACTTCTTGAATTCTAAATGAAATTATTCTCTTAACTTTTCAAAATTTATCACCAACTTATTAATCAAATTACATGAATTAAAAAACTAGTCTTTCACTGTCTCAAAGCTTACTTAAATCAGCAGTTCATCCAAAGGAAAAAAAAAATTATCAAATCAAGGGACTTTTTATTCATTCTTGTGGACCTACCTACAAACCATTGAAAGATCTGTCAAGGGACAACACCTATACAAACATCAAATTCATGCCTTTCCATTCGCATTTATTGAATTTTACTCATTAAAACAATCTCTCTTAACCCCTTAATTGCTTCTGTATTCTTCAATTTGCTAACACATTTAGTTACGGGATATCTAATTTGAGTGCGTTTGTGGAGACCGAACGTATTCCGGTGACGGATTTTGCTAACAACAGCGAGAAGAATTATGGGTATAAGTTTTACAAAAAAAAAAAATTGTCAAACTTAAATACGTATTTATGAATGTGAAGAGAAATTAATTAGAGGGGAGAAGTGCATGTTAAAAATGTCCGAGGTAATAGTTACTAATGATTTTGTTAAAATTATTTTCAATTGTAGTTTTATTAGTTTATAATTTTTTATTATTTATTATAATATTTAAAAATATTAATTTATAAATTAATTTTAATTAATTTAATAATAAATATAAATTATTTTATTAATTATTTATAATATTTAATAATAAAATAATTTTAGTAACCTAATAAAATTAATAATAGTTATAGCCAAACGGTTAAAAATGGTAAAGAAATCAATGAATATGAAAGAGCATTAAAAAGTCATAAAAGATGGGCAAAGGTCCATTTCATAGTGGCCATAAAATGGTGAAAAACAAGAGAAAAAAAAAGGTCCAATTTTGCCTTTATATTTAAAATAAAGGGTTTGTCTATCATATATGTGAAAGGTCTAGGGCTTCAAAAAGGATTTTTCTGTAAGTACAATTTCTCACTTTTATTGTGGTGAGCTGTCATGCGTTTGATCATTAAGTCAACTGAATTGTACATGTGATATAATATGACATGACTTTTTGGCATGGGTAAATATAATTTTTCATCAAAAATAATTGAAAAATTATTTTGTTATAAAATTTTATATATTATTTAATTATTAATATGTTATTATTAAAGTAAATTTATAATATTATATATTTATTTATTTAATAATAGGTAAAAATTAAAAAAAAAAAAGTGTAAATAAACTTAATCCCTTATGGTTACACAATTTCTCATTTTTATGGCATTGAGTTGTCATGCAATTGACTGGCAGGTCAAATCCGATTGTATATCACGTTACAAGACTTTCTATAAAGGAAAAAAGAACAAGCATTCTGCACGGCATTACCTACCTTTTCTTTTATTTTTAGTAAATTTAATTTAATTTTTTATTTTTAAATATAAATTTAATAAATTATATATAGTAATTAAAAAGTTCTTTATATAAAATTTTTGTTAAATACTTTTATATGATAAAAAAATTTTAATTATTATTTATATAATATATTAAATTTTATAAAAATTAAATTAAATTTATTAAAAATAAATAAAATGAACATGTAATAAAAATTGAATCATTTAATACTAAAGATTTTTTTTATTAAATGGTTATTTTTTTTATCAAATTAAAATTAATTATATATATTAATTAAATAAAAAAATGAGATTTATGAGTTTCAAACACAATATTTACATAAAATAAACACATTATTTACAATAAGTGAACGACTCTAACCAAAAAACCATGCAACTGAACAGAGCGGGATATTCATCAAATATTTACTCTTAATTTTATAATATAATGTAATTTAAATTATTAAATAAATTTAAAAAATTAAAGTGAAATTATCTTTTCCAGTATCGGGTACCGGGTAAGGCGATAGAGAGATGTTGAATGACACACGGTCACGCATCATAGGAGTGCAACTCAAAAAAAAAAAAAGAAGAAGTAATTATCCTTGTCACTAATAAAAGAACTTAACAATTATTCTCTGTTCCATTTTACGCGTAGTTTTGCCTTTTTACATTAACAATGAAATTAATTCATTTTCTGGTAATTTTAATGATTTTCTCAATTTCCTCAATTTGAAAAACAACATTTTCAAGTAACTTGTAGGCATGAACTTATAATAAAAATAAAAAATAAAAAAATAAAAAAACTAGAATTGCTGAGCAGATTAAAAAAACGCTATGATTGTGGATTAAAAGAGAGATAGAGGAGAGCTTACATGCTAACGACATGAGGGGGGGTGTCATTGGAGCAGGTGACATTATTTTCATATAGATCGATTGGGTCTGAAACCCAATCCGACTTTCCACTGCATGGATCTACATTGAAATTCCAATTTTTCTTTCCCAATGTCTTCGCTATGTCTCGCAAGGCTTCCACTGCGAGTCACAGTATAATCACTTAGAAAAGAAACAAGAAGAAGAAGAGATCACGCATCAAATCAACTTTGCTTATATGAAACAAATTAATTAATGCATATATATACATTCATCGTCAGGTAATCTGGCTGCGACGAATGCAAAATTTGCAAGGAAAAAAGCGAGAAGAAGACTTGGAAATAAAATGGCTGGCATCTTTGAACTTGGAGATTACTGGTCAGAGAAACAGATTCTGCTGCTTGGTTGAGTCTGTGTGGGCATGGAGGGTATAAATGTGGGAAAAGAAAAAAGACTACCCGTTGACTGACTGGACAAACGTCCGTTTGTCATTTTTATTATTTATAGAATGGTCCTTATACTTAATAATTTATTTTATTTGTCCTTTTTTTTTTATTTTATGAAAAGGCCTATTATTTAATCAGGGTGACCAAGTGGTCCTAAGGTGCCAGAGTGAAGTTTTGGTCTTCGAATGTGGGCGTGTAAGTTTTGGTCTTCGAAAGTGGGCGTCGGTGCAAATCCCACTTTTGATATTTATTTAACTTAGTCTGTTAATTATTTTTTATGGTTAAAGGTTTAATATTTAAATATTTTTAAAATTTAGTATTTGAATTATTAGAATTTATATATATATATATTTTGGGGTTTAGGGCTTGAGATGTTGGTTTTAATTTTTAGGACTAAAATGTTTAGAATGTTGTGGATGTTTTAAAGTTCAATATTTAAGGTGTTAGGAGTTGGTTTTTCAAGGTGTTTAGTTTCAAATTTTTTAAGGTTTACAATATGAAAATAATGTAATAGAAGTTGCCCTTTTGAAATTTTACTTAAAGGAATAATCTAACAACTTATTTTTAAATTAATATTTTTTAAAAATAAATTGTTAGATTGAAAATTTGTTTATGTAGATGATGTATAT